AGCACCCGAAGGGGCGATGTCCCGGAGAGCTGTGGCCCGGGGTGCATTTGTTTCTCTTCCTCCCCTGAGTAAGACGCCCAGGTCGGCTGTGCGTGCGAGCAGGAGCTTATCAATCTATTCGTACATTCGCGCTTGACTTCGTTCACCGAAGGTGCAGCAGAACAGCGACGCTCCTGCGCGAGTGCCAGGGTCCTGGGGGCCAGAGCCATAGCAAAGGCTGCGGTCTCCTGACCTGGAGGGGTCGACGGGTCTAGGCAGCGGTGGCTTCAGCGTCCCAGGGACGTGGGGGCCCATGGGGCAGCTGGGGTAGGAGCGGGCCTGCGGCCCCCTGCGTTTCTTGCGGACTCGTGGGTCCTGACACCATACCCTCGACGCCGCCTTCCATCGGCTCAAGGATTTCAATGGGGCGGGGTCCTCCGGCCTGCCGGCACTGCTCGCTCTCTAGGCTCTCCGTCTCTGGTCATTCCCCCATCGCCGCTTGTCCTTCCCTGGTCCGCCCCCCACCGCGCGTCTTTCCGTAGTCCCCCACGCCTGTTCATTCGCTCCGGCCCCCCTCCCCGCCTGCCCCCTTCGTCCTCCTCCCTGTCGCCCCTCGGCTCCCTCTACCCCCAGCCCTCCCCCGCGCCCAGCTGGCCGAGGCCGCCGTCTGGTCCCCGTAACTTGATGCCCGTGACAGTTGGCAGCTGCAGCCGTTTCGGCAGAGAAAAGAGGCGGCCTAGCCAAGAGCGACAGGTGTTGGCCGCGCCTTTGTCTTCTCCGGCTTTGTCCCTCGGGCGGGCGGGCGCGGGCGGTGGGTGCGCTTGTGTCCGCCAGACGACCGCTACCCATGGCTGGCCGCCCATCTGCCCGCCCAGCCTCCCCGAGGGTGGGATGCATGGGCGGTGGGGCCGCGCCCTGGGGACCCCAGCCGGGTCCCTGCTTCACGGGCCTTGGTTTATGCCGCCTTCCAGCAGAACCAGAAGACCCATTTGCCTTCTGGCCGTCAGGCCTTTACACACATAGAGCCTTACACCTGGAACAAGCTGGCAACCCTCTTAAATGGCTGTTTCTTCACTGTTCAGGGACAGCTTCCCTATCCGTCTACCCGGTGGGAGCACACCTGCCCTGCAGCAGCACTGCACCCTCACCCAGTCCTCTGCTTCTCTCCCGGGACCTGGATTGTCAGGGTCTGGTCTGTGCCCCTCCAGGCTACAAGCATCCCTGGTCAGGGGCACAGTCTGACCTAGGGCCCCTTCTCTAGCCCCAGCAAAGAGCCTTGCCTAGCAGAAGCACTGGGTAGGTAGGGAAGGTGAGAAATTGCCCTAAGCCAAGTGGGAAGGCAGCAAGGGATAGAAAAATCCAGGGACTGCAGTGTGGTAGGGTTCTGGGACTAGATCAGAGACACCCACATGTGCCCCCAGCTGCCTGAAGATGACTATTTCACTTCAGGCTCCCCCAAGAGGGACCTCTGAAGGTAGGGAAAGTTCAGTGAAAGGCTTGATGGTTCCCAAAGTCACCTCACGGATCTCTGTAACTGCCTGGGAACCCCTTCTGCTGACCCTCCCCTGCTGTCTCTTTGCTTTTCTGTGCACAGGGTGCTGCGATGTCCCAGGCCTGCATTGCTCACCCAGGAATGAACCTGGTCCTCTCCTTCAATCACACCTTGTTTTCCTCAGTCTCCCCTACAAGCCAGAAAGCTCAGCTCTCCTCTTCCTCCCGTCCTCTGCCTGGTCCAAGACCCAATTGCCCTTCCCACTCTACTAGTGGTGAGGCCTATAGAGAGGGAGAGGGGCTTGAGTGGTGGATCCCAAGAGAGCCAACAGCTGGCCACTGACTTTACTTTTCTTCACCATTTAGATGTCACCCCAGGGAAGGAGATCTCCCTCCACCCCCAAGTTTCCACTATTTGAGAAACTCAGATATGGAAAAATAAACTCAGTGTTGTTTCTTGTACTCTCATTCATACCCATCCATTATTGATTGTATTTGAATAAGATCCAACAAGTAATTTAGGATGATCTCTGTGAAAGGCAGTTCACATTAGAACAGGGCCCTGGGGGAGGCCTCTGGGAAAAGATTATTGCTCTTTTCCTGATTGGATGGGGAACTGAATGTGGGAAGGGAGGAAGAATAATACAGGCAAATAATGTGAGCAAAAAATGAAAGGCAACTAGGAACTCCAGGAAAAACAAAAAGCAACCCAAGAAGAGAAATGTAATCTTAGCTCATTACTTGGCCCACTAGCCAATCCTTTCAGAGTCACAACAATGTAACACTGTTCATAGGGTTTCAACGTTTAGACTCAATCTATAGAAAAGACAAGGAAGGCTTAATTATGGTTACAGGTTATAAAGTTGACTTGGTAAAAACAAAAGGACAGGTGACAGTTGCCAGGAGAAGGGAGGAGGCTGAAGCAAGTGTTAGGGACCTCAAAAGCCTTGTCTTACATAGGGTAGGGAGATTGAGGAATGTTGTCTAGAATTGAAAGAAGAAGACATTAAGTCTGGGATATGCCTCAGTATGACCAAGCACCCCTGGGAAAAAAAGCATAAGGACAGAGCAGGGTGTGTGAGTCAGCAAAACCCTCCTTGGTTAGACTGGGAGTTGCCCACGGTCCCACCCTGAAGTCAGTCGCTGTAAGATTTCCTTTAGTGGGCCCGTTGGCTGGCTGGCTTGGCCTTTTCCTCCTAGAAGACTGGCTACTCTATCTCAGGGCCACCCATCCTCCCTCCCCTAGTGGACCCACTTCCTGCCATTTGTCCCTTGAACTGATCCCACCTTCAAAGTTTGCCTGAACACAGACTTCCTGAGCATTTGGACTGTTTGATCGCCTCATATCCAAAAACAGAGGCCAGCAGAAGCTGGGAAGGGCTGCAGTGGCCGCAGGGAGACCAGTTATCAGCAGGGGTGGCAGGCCATAAATCCCCAGGAAACAAAGGCAGTGGCCAGCCTATGGGTGTCCAAGGATCCTTGTAAGCAATCAGCCCACAGGCTTGCAGAAGCTCCTTTTGGTTTGGAAATAAAGGGGAGGGGGTGACTTTGGGGATGTATGGTGAATAAAAATGCAGTTAAGAGCCCCCAAAGGCATTCAGAAGTTCAGCTATATATATGAAACAGCTATATCTGGCCATTTAGGGAGTTTGCAGAGGACTCCATGGTCACTGGGAGGACTTTGCCTTTTGTGTGCCCCACCGTCACCCCACCCCCAATCACTACTTGAATTTAGGTGGCCAGGCCAGGAGGCAGTCGAGCCCTCCCTCCTGCTCAGGGAACTTCTGGAGGACTGGGCACTGGGTCCAGGAGCCATTCATCTCCCTGCTCCGATACTCATGGTCCTGGTGTGAAAAGTGGTCCCCTGCATGGTTTCATCACTGAGGAAGGAGAGTGGGTGGGAGGAGGCTGTGCCATACTCCCTGTATCGCCTCAGACGGAGACACGAGGCTGTTCTGGCCCTGGATCCTTCAGATCTCTCTGCCTTCAGGCCCGTGACCAGCACACAGGCAGCCAGCCCAGGTGGGACAAACTGCCCTGGATGGGGCGGGAACGGAATGGAGTAGTGCCTGGAGTCACCGCAGAGTGGACAGGAGCGAGGGGGCGGAGCTGAGTGGCCTCACTCTCCATTGGTGAGTGACAGACTGTGGGAGGACTGGACTCCAGGATTAGATCTGCATCACAGAGAGCTCACTGGGCTGGGGGCTGCATGTCAGAGCACACACGCAGACAGGAAGGGGCCGGTGGGAAGCCGCTTGGGCAAAGGAAGAGGTGATGGGGGCCTTTGCGACAGAAGAGTCCTGAGCCCGGAATTTCTAGGGTTCTTAAAAAAATCTTTTGATAATCTTTGATCTCTATTCAGTTTTCTTCTGTGTTATAATAAAAATCCACACAAATAAAAATAAAAATATACTTGCTTTATTTACCAATTTTCTAAAAGGCATAAAAGTCATAAAAAGACACAAGCAGTCCAACCAACACATTGCACTGGGTGAAGAAGGGGGTTTGCGCGTGAACAAACCACTTGTCCGGCAAGGCTTCACACGTCCTTACACAGACTCTGAGAGCTTATTTACATATCTTTTTAGGAGTATATTAAAAAGAAGGCTCAGTTTAAAATCGAGAAAAAGTCTTTATAACACCCGTGTAAGCACACATACTAGAGAAAACGTAAGACTCGATGCGTGGCACCGTGTAAACAATTTCACAAAATGCTCCTACTGGCAACGTCTCAGCACACGTTGCAGCTACGCAGTTAACAACCAACGAGTAGACATGACTAGTAAGACGATGCTGATGGTAAACATTCAGAACATAGAGAAGGTTTTGGCAGTTTTCTTTAGGTAACGTAAATGCAACTTCGACTACCTACAGTCTAACCCCTTAATGCTCTGACTTTAGAGGCAGGAAGCAGTTTGTAGCATCTAATTGCCACACAGACACACAGACTACGTACACCTCGTCTTGAGTATCTGAAGGCGATGTTACTTTGTAAATTTAAAAAAAATTAAACACTGTTTTTGTGCTTGAATTTATGAGAAGTAGGATTGATATTCAGGCATAAAATGGTTCTACTCTGAAAATCAACTGGATTGCAGCGAGACTTCACCTATTCCAGCAGCCGCTTCTCCACCAAAGAGCAAGGGAAAAGCTGCATGCTTTTAGCTTCTATAGACTCAGCCCAATTGTGAGCCAACCGTTCCATCGCTGGTACCTTCTCACACACTCCAGGGGCCAATGTAACATTTTCCCAAACAATCTTTGGCATATAGGATGCAATGTGAGGTTTTGCAAAAAGTTGGGCAGTCTGGTCTCACTCTTTTCCAAGTGTCCCATTCGCCTGAAGGTGCCAGTGACACTAGTGGACATCACTGCAGAGACCGGACAGCTGCCCCGATGCGGTCGGGCTCATGAAAAGGACCAGGGTCAGTGTCTCAGCCCAGGGTGCGGGGAGAGGGGTGAGCTTACAGCCCCCTGGAAAACACAGACTCAGCCACCAGCTCAGCGGCTGCTGACTGCCAGGAGAACGCACCGGGAGGTGCCAACTCAAGAAGAAACACGAGTGGGTCCCAAATGCAACGATCAAAGCCTGGTTTGCGGAGACAAGACACCATCAGAGGATGACGGCAACCTATTTTTATCTACATTTTGGCTGACCCGGTCTGAACAGGATACGAGAGTGATGTAGAAATATACCGAGGGGTCTGTATACTTCTGACGGTGCGTGTTTCTATGCTGCAGTTGGTCACACAGAACACCAGGCTTCTTTAGTCCAGAGCGAGCATTTCAACCTTGTTCACCTCAAACTTAAGATACATCAGGTTGAAATGTTTGCCACGTATGTGAAGCTGAAGCTGCTGGTTGGCCGAACTATGCTTCACACTATTTAATGCAAAAGACTTTGAAAGAAAACTGGGAGACCCCATGGTCTCCACTTGGCATGTTTTCAAAACGCCTAGTCTGACTAAATGATTTAGATAAAAAGCAGCCCCCTGGCGAAGACAGAATTTGATCTGATCCAAACACACCCTGGGGAAGTTCTGGAAGGCTGGTCCCTCAGCTCGGAGTCACCTGCAGCATCCGAGCTGTTAGGCACAGCCTGGTGCGATGCCTCCGGACAGCCCACGGGGAAGCCCACGGACACCAAGCACCGGACAGAGGCCCCCGGAGCCCGCTCAGCCCCTCCCTGACGCTTCCAGAGGGGGCCAGTCTTTCTCAAGTTAAACAACGATGAAAATCTCTTCCCTGTCCCGGAAAACTCCATCTTTATATTATAAATATATAAAAAATTTCTTCTCCAACCTTTCCTACCCTCCATAGTTTTAAGTCACCCCTTCAGAAAAGTAAGGGTTTTTTTTTTTTCTAAAGCAAAAAAAGCCATTGTAAGTGTATGTGTCCATTTGATTAGAAACCGGGGTGAAGACACTTCCTCTCTTCAGAGCACCATTCAGTGTGGACCGCTGGCTGTCGGGCTGGGGGTTTACATCTGCCCCCTGTTCCTGTGACTCGGGGCAGGGCCAGTTTCCTCTTCTTTGGTGTCTCCTGTCTCGCCGAGCCCCAACGCAGGGACACCCTCCTCATACGGTGCACACTTTGGTGTCTGCCGTCTCGCCGAGCCCCAGCGTGGGGACACCCTCCTCACACGGCACACAGATACTGCCCAGTCCCTGGTTTTCACAGTAAACACATTCCTTAAAAGAAAAAAAAAGTAAATCAGTAACAAAAAATGAGATCTTTGGCACAAAAACGTAGCTCAATTTGAGTGGGGTGCAGATGTTCAGGTGTCGGCCGTGAGGCTCCTGGAGGAGGAAGAGGAGGGCCGCAGCTCCCCCCCCCGCTCTCCCTGGAGGGGTGCCCACTCCCAGCTTCTGGGGCCAGGCGAGGGGTCAGTGTCCACCAGATGCTCAGGTTCCCGTCCCTGCTCCTCCTCTTTCTGTCTGTGGGACCTGGAGTTGCTACCTACCCTCTCTAACTTCAGTTTTCTCATCTGTAAAATGGGTATCAACAATGTGCTATTCCATTCATTCATTCCTCAACTGCCCATTAAGCACCAGGCATGTTCCAGGCACGTTCCAAGTGCTGGGATGTAGCAGTGAGCGTGGAAGAAAACCCATGTCCCAGGGGAGGTGACATCCTAGTGGAGGGAGGGATGACAAGCTGAATGAGGAGTGGTCCACAGTGTATCAGAAGATGGAAAGTGCGAGGCTGACGTGGAACGAGGCGTGCGAAGACGTTCAGAAAAGGCCACAGAGAGAGTGACTGCAGTGGTTCTGAAGTACACCCACTGATTCTTTGATACTCCTTTCTCAAGGGTGGAGGCCTGGGCTTAGGGACTGGCCTCTAGCAAAGAGGATGCGATGGAGGTGACTCAGTGAATTCTGAGACTGTGACGTGACAGACACTGCAGCTCCCCTAGCTCTCTCTGGGGAAGCTGCCGTCACGTCACGAGGACACCCAAGCAGCCTATGGGGGGACGCACATGGCCAGGAACTGAGGTCTCGCGCCTGCGGCCAGTACCAGCCTGGCAGGCGTGCGAGGGCTCCTCCTTGGACGCGGATCCTCCAGCCTCAGTCCTGCCTTTCATGGCGGAAGCCCTGCCAGAATCTCTTCAACTTTGGGGGAGACCCTGAGCAGAACCACGTGGCTAAGATGTTTTTCAATTCCCAACCCAAAGAAACAGTGGGGGGCGATACGTATTCATCATCTTAAGCCACTAAGCTCTGGCGCTGTTTGCCAGGCAGCAGCAGGCAACCACCGCAGCAGTGTGTGCGAGAAGACTTGACGGAAGCCGGGGGAGCCGTGCGTCTGTCTGAGGGAAGAGGATGCCACGCAGAGGGAAGGGCAGGCGCAGAGGCCCTGGGCAGACGCCTGCCTGCTGGGTTCAGGGGCCAGCCAAGAGGCCAGCGCAGCTGGAGAGGAGAGAGTGAGGGGAGACGGGAGCTGTGGGGAAGGAGTGTCACATTTTTATGGCTTTGTAGCAATTTATTCTGAGTGAGACGGGGCATCACTGGGAGGGATCAGAGCTGAGGGCTGATGTGATCTGACTGTAGGGGACAAGGGTGACAGAGTGCAGCTGGGAGGCTACTGTGATAATCCAGGTGAGGCAGCATCATGGCTGGGACCAGGGTGGTGGTACTGGAGGGGATGGGAAGTGGCTGTCTATTCACCTTGAAGGTCAAACCAGTATGACTTGCCAGTGGACAGGCTAGGGTGAGAGGGGAGGGTCGTCCACACCGACGCCCATGTCTGTGTCCTGAGCAGGCTGGGCAGTGGAGTCACCCTGAGCGGTGGGAAGGGTGGCTGGGCAGGTTTCCTCTGAGGATAATCAGAACTGCAGATGAAGTTCAAGGGGGTGGAGGTCAGGGAGTCTAGGCACGCAGAAGCTATTTCCAGTCGGGAGGCAGGAGCAGACAGCGCGGAGGGAGGGCAGACAGGGAAGCAGGCTGCCAACCCTGGGCCTGGGGCGCTTCAACACTGGGCATGGAGAAGGGAGGGGGACCAGGAGCCGAGCAGACAACCCTTGACGGAGCAGCCTCCTGGGTCGTGGGGCTCAGAGGGAGCGGGAGAGAGGAGCTGGAGGCATCTCTGGAACCCCCGGAGGGACCGGAGACAGGAGGGGCAGCTGGGGGGGGGCGCACAGGCTGTGAAATGGGGGGGGCGGGGGGGCTTGCTGCTCCCGCCTTCTCTTAACGGTCTCCATGGGTGCTGAGGGTTTAAGACAGGAGAGATCTTTTTTTAAATTTTCAACTGGAAACAAAATTGAAAGAAAAAAGATTCAAATTCCAGCATATGGTTGAGGTTATTTAGGAGACCTTTGGGGAAACAATGCTGAAAAGCCACTGGAAGAAAGATCTTTAAAGGAGACCTAACGGTGTCAAGGTATCTTCTTCCACTTAAATGAACTTCTAATTTGAGCAGTTTTAAATTTAGAGAACAGCTGCAAAGGTAGTTCCCAGCATTCTCATCACAGCACCTTCAGCGTCAGAAAAACAAGTCCCATGAGCTCACCGCCACGTCGAGGGCCGCGGGGAGGCCGCCTGACCGCACCCATGGGTGGACGTCCTGCAGCTCCTGCCTCTGCCCCTCTGTGAACCGGGGCTGGAACCTCTGCAGCGCCTTCAGCCTCGCCCTGTCCTCCTGCAGAACCGCTTCGAAGTTTCTTCACAAAGTATTCAGAAAACACAGGGAAGTGTGAGAATGTCTCAAGGGCTTTTGATCTTAGAGACGACGCTCATTCTCTACCAGCACCTCCTGTATTAACCACGTAACGTTAGATGATTTTGTTTAATGTAAGTTTCCTTCTCACTTAGATAAATTACCCTATTTAAGCGAACTCAATCTCCTTAGTAAATAACCTGCAGTCTTTCTGTTAAAATGATAGACCAAGTTGCAATTTTAATTTTAGATTAGCTGTGGGAGCTGGGTATTTGTGGGCAGTTGGTTCTGGATCGGGTGGTTAATCTGGGAGACTCTCACTGGCGTGGTGGTCGGTGGAAAACCCTCCCTGACACCTGCCAACAGTGGTCTGACTCGCAGCTGCCCCAGGGAAGGAGGCCTGTCTGTTTGGAACCTTGGGGTCTCATTAGTCCTTCCTCCTCTCACTCCAACTCCCCCCACCAAGGGGTCACTCTGCAGGGGCAGGGACAACGATGGGTTCCAGGTTCCCTGGAGCAGTCAGAGCTGAGGCACAGACCCCGGGCCCCTACTGAGTAGCTGGTGGCCTTGGGCTGGTAACCCACCTCAACTGTTGGTTTCTGCATCTCTAAGACACACACAAACACAGACACACACCCTTTATCCCCCAGGGTTGCTGAAAAACCGAGCAAAAGAGAAGGCATTGGCACACGTGATTCATAAACGTCAAGTGTGACACCTGGGGGGTTGTCAGGAGCCCGCCCCCTCTCCAGGCCTGTAGCAGGTTACTCCGCAGGGCCCCGGGCCACCCCGTCCACACTGCAGGACTCTGCGAGGCCAGCGGAACCACTGAGAGGGGCCCTGCACACAACTTAATCTGAGGTATGACTCCCTGAGGGAGGCCCTCCGGCCCTGCTGCTTGGGGGTCCCGAGCCCTAGACCCTCGCGCGTCGCTAGGGAGAGGCCGAGCGGTTACCGGGAGGGCATCTGGTATGTCATCATGACGCTGTCGTCGGTGTCGGCCGTCAGGAGCCAGACGGGGTCCCGTAGGACGCACTTGGTGAAGCGCTGACTTCCTCCCAAGTCGGCCTTCACTTCCACTTTGTGGTTATTCTCTGAAGAGTCGATGCTTCCAAAGTATTTGCTGGTATGACTTGTGTCACTGCTGCCTTTAAAAACACAGAATGCGGCAGGTCAAAACCTTTCACGTAAGTTAACCCTTGCTCCGTGTGCTTGTGTAAAGGACTGGCAGTTTTTGGAGCTAGAGGTTTGTCTGGTAACAGTGCCCGTGTTGGTGGATTTTCCCTTCTCCTTCCAAGTCTTGAACTGCCTGGAGAATGTGAAAACAGGGTAGCTGCTAGCACCACGGGGCGGATCCTCTCCTGGGGGGGGCCCCGAGGAGTCCAGCTGGGGCCGCACCTTCAGAAGTGTGGTCTTCTTTCCCAAGCTCACCATCTCCTGATGAAGCCAGACCACAGGCAGGTGGCTTTGTAAGTAGGAGGCAGCTGGCCCGCGAGAGGCCTGCTCACTTCTGGGGGAGGAGGGGTCTCCCAGTTTGGGGAGAGTGGGTGCATTTCCCGCTACGGTGGTTCCAGGTCACATCTGAACAATCCTTGTTGGTGAAGCACGTAGTGCACACACTAGGTTCTCACAACAGGGAACTAACTCGGGAAGGTGCACCACCACCGCCTGGCACACCTGGCGAGCTCAAGGGACAGTCCAACCAGGGCCAGCTGGGCTGTGGGGCCTGCAGTCCAGTGACATCAAAAGTGACAGGTGAGAGAGGAAACCTGGACTGGCCAGGGCCTGCTGTCCACACAGGCCGAGCCCGGGCAGGAACAGCCCTGCCCGCCTGTCTGCACTGCTGGGGGCTCTGAGCAGCCGGTTGGGCTGCTGGATGCCTGGCGGGACCCAGTCTGCCCCTGATGCTGGACACCGAACACCTGTCAGCCTGAGGCTCTGGTGCAGCTGGTTCCCCAGGTGCGGAAAAGTCGCGGAGACCCAGGTACCTTATATGAGAATCTTCCAAACACATCTCCCAGGACGCAGGCGCTCCCAGTGCCATCAACATACCTGTCCCACTACCGGAAGCATCGCAGCCCAGCGAGCCAGAGCCCAGGGAGCAGGAGGTGGCGGAAGCCCCACTTCCGGACAGAGCTGAGCCGGTGGCCGAGCAGAGGTCCTCGTGCAGCAGGAGGTGCAGCAGGCCACTGGACGTGGACAGGGCGTCGCTGTTCTGGGCGTCCGCGGGCTCGTCGCCCTTCGGGAACAGGGAGGAGACACAGTCAGGTCTCATCACACAGAGTGAGGTGGGGGTGCGGGGGCAGAGAGGCTGGTCTGCACAGACCCCCAGGACACAGCAAGCGTGTCCGTCCTGGGGTCGCTGGCCCCTCCCTCATGTGCCAACAAAGAAGGCCCAATGCCCAGACCACTACGTGATTACTGGGGCTACAGCGAGAATCTCGGAGGTGGTGTGAACGCCATCTAATTAAATTTAACTCTGGGAGGGTCCCACTAAAGGTGGCACTTCTTGGATTCCTGGGGAAGACTCTTACGCATGCTCTTCCACCAAAGTGGACACAGAAGCGCCCCCCCCACTGTTTCCACGTCCTCTCCCAGGAGTACAGGCAGGGGCGCCTTGCAGCCCCCTCCCTGGAGCGCCTACTGGGTGGCACCGCCTCAGGTGATGCTCCCACGGGCCTGAGCTCCCAGAACACAGATGCATTTCAGTGGAAATCAAACTACAACTGCATTAACCAAGTAGGAGTACATGCCAGTGTCCCTTAAGAGCGGGAGGGTGGGAACCCACGGTGCTGGGCTCCCGTTCCCTCCTGGCCCCGCCCCTCCCCCCGTGAGGGCCTGCGCTGCCAGCTGCCAGCTTCCCTCCCAGGAGCCTTCCACCTGGCACGTAACCCCGCCTCCATCCTTGAAGTACGCAGTTCAACTTCCGAGGGGCTGTTCCACCCGCATTTACCCTCAGACAATCAGCTTCTCTTTCTTCCTTCAGATCCCAAGACAATGAAAACTCTGGCTAGTGTACTCCGACAGGGTCTTTTAACTGGGAAACATTCATTTCTAGCACGTGTTTATGTCAGAATCAAACGGTTTGTAGTAACCTCAGGGTGGGAACTACCCACATCTCAGATGAGGATGTGCGTGTGACCCGCCCGAGGCCGTGCTGCCGCGGCCCTAGAGAAAGAGCATCCAGGAGCCTTTACCATGGGCAGTGCCATCAGCGGCTGGTCCCAGGACGCGCCAGGCTTGCAGTCCGGCCCTGCACTCATTGTCCCTGGGGTCCCTGTGGTCCCTGCAGCCACAGTGCTGCCCTCGGGGGCCTCCTCCAGCTGCAGCAGGTTGAGCTGCAGGGGTGAACTTCCACGGGATTGGAAGAGGGGCGGGGAGGTCCTGCCCGTGGGCCCAGCGGCTGATGGCGGGGTGGCCATGCGGGACCCTGGTGGCCCACACTCTGCCCGAGGACAAGGGTACGGCTGTTTGAGGGGTGAGGTCCGCCCAGGGAAGTCAGGCTGTGAGGCAGGGGTCATCTCGGAGGGAAAGTTAGGCTGGCCGGGGAAGAAGGCCTGGGGCAGGTTCGGGCTCACCGGTGTCAAGGAGTAACTGGGTAACACCAAGGCCATGACGGGGGCCAAGGGGCCGGCGAGCGGCGGGGGCTGGACCACAAACTCATGCTGGGCGTCCATGGGCACCGTGAAGCCAGCGTGGGGAGCCACGGGCACTGCTGCAACGGTCCTGGGTGCCGGCACTATTCCCGGGGCGGGGAACACGGGCAGGGAGTAAGCTGGCACTGGGGCAGGGAAGGGCACCGTTGGGCAGCTGGACTGGGACGTGTCTGACGGCGACCAGGCTGTGGCGCTGAGGCCCACCAGTGGGGGCCGGTGCAGCTCGGGGCCCCCAGACCCGGTGCTCTCTGAGGAGTCTCGAGGCCTGACCCGTTTGGACTTCAGTTTTCTGTTCTTCCCGGTTTTTTCCAAGAGGAATCTATTCCAGAGGTATTTCTTAGTCCAGGAGCAGCTAAAATAACGGGAAAACGACGAGAGTTGAGATATAAAAATTATGTGACTCCTCTTATGTCAATTTTCAGACTTGTCAAACCTCAGAAACTCCCAGTTCAACAGTCCCCTGCTCCCAATGCCAGCCTGGGGCGCGTCTGGCCACCATCCTGTCTTCCTGGATCCTCAGGAAGGTGAGAAAAATCAGGGAAAATGTTAGGTTTGCATAAAACTAGATTCAATCAATTTAAAGCACTGCCCTTCATTGCAAGATCACATTCCTTGTTTGCTTCTGGTATTAAAGTGTCCTTTCTTGTATGAAGTAATAGTGATAAGTGGTATTACAGAGGTTTTATTTATCCAAAGCAATAAGCAAGCTGGCGAGTCGGCACTGTTCCCCGATGATGGTTTGTGAAATTCGAAAGGCAGAACCACTATCTCATCTAAGCTCATTCATAGTTTTACGAGCTTTATTACTACCATTTCATAAAAAGAGATGGTTGCTGCATCACTGGCCAATAAGCCTTTGATTCCATCCCACTGAGTCACAGGGTTAAAGGAACACTCATCCTTGGACCAAGTTCCTCCTCTCCGATGGCAAGTGGGCTTTCTTCAGAAGGCTGGAGGGGCTCAGCAGGGACATAAGGGGCTTTGGGCATGTCCCCTCGCCCCCCATCCTGGGCATCAGCCAGCATTGGAGGTACTGTGCGCGGGAGGGTCATGCTGAGCCTGGGGTGGGATGGGCACTGGGACGGGTCCCAGGAACCTCAGTCTTTCCTCTGACGTCACACAGGGTGACTTGGAGCACTCGTGGCAGGTGTATGGGGACGTCCCCTGCCAGTTGTGCTACATTCAGGCAGAGGGGCCAGCCCAAGGCCAACTGCTAAGCGGGCGGAGATTTTGCAATTCAGCCTCTCTGTCTGGTGTTCTTCCTACAGGAAATCTGTGCCCTGGTGGGACTAGTGGCAAGGCACTGGGCTCCTGGGATACCACATCAGGGTCTGGGCAGGGCTGCTGTGGACAGCTGTGCAGTTTGTGCACTGCACAAACTGCTGGGCCAAGGGGGCAGGAGGGGGCTGGAATTCTGTACTAAGTCAGGGCTATGGTCGGGGTGGGGCACCTTTTTCTAATTGCCACAGAGGTTCCCTATGTACTGGCAGTAACCCTGAGTCTGGGGAGGAAGGAGGAAAGGAGAAGGGAAAAGATATGATCCTTAGGGAGAGTGTCAACCTCTTGCTTCCTAGACATCTGTTTCAGTGTGCTGCCCAGAGACCCAGGGGAGCCAAGTCCTCGTGCTGTGTCTGTCTCGGGCTCACTAGCTCTTAGCTCTGACCCCTGTGTCAGAGCCTGGGAGCCAGGGAAGAGGTGGTACCTCTGATCAGCTCAGCCTTGTCCATGGGGTCTGGGAAGGTGGCTGGTGGTCAGGAGCCAGGCTCCTGGACCAGAAAAGGGAGAAGGAAGCTAGTCTATCCCACTTAATCCCTTGCCCTTTGACCACCTAGTGGCTCTCAGCCTAAAGGGCAGCTTCCCGCACCCATGGGCTCTGTCTGGCTTTGGAGTCTGTAGCCCAGCCCTGAGGCCATCCCGGCAGGAGGGCACATGGTCTAGGGAGAAAGGCGCCATTCCCTCCTGTGGTGTCATCCGGGGCTCCCTCCTTCCTCAGGAGCCTCAAATGCTCTGGCGCCACTGGCTCATTCTCTGTGGGGACAATTAGCCCACCTGGTTCACTGAGGGTCCTGACTGGGTGGGCAGGTCAGGGGGGTCTGCTGCCCCTCGAAGTCACCCAGGCAAGAAATGTCCAACGTCGCAGCTGCGACTGCCCCTGCCCCGCATCCCACAGGGGGCTGGGCCGGACTGTCACCACTATTTACAACACTCCTCCCTTGGGAGCATGAGGCGGTGTCTTTGCACGTGTCCTGGCACAGAGGGCATCACCGGTGAAGTTCCCACAGCTCTCCTGCAAGCGTGTGTGCCCTAAACTGGGGGCCTCCGGCACTCGGAGAGGCCGGGGCTCAGTGGTGCTCAGAGTGAGTTTAAAACCATCCCTGCTCAGTTCAGGTACTGCCACTTACTTCTTTCACTCGACGGCCCCTTGCATCTTTCTTGTAAGTAATGATGGCAGCGAGACTGGAAAATATGGAGTTTCCTCATTTCTTTGAACTTCAGCAGGAAGCTCTGCTCCTCCTTCTGGGTGTGGGCGGCCAGCACCTCCTTGGTGAGGCCCAGCTTCCTGAAGGGCTCCTTGTCCTGGCCGAGGCTGCAGGGCACAGCGGGGCCCGCCCGGCAATCCAGAGACTCGGGCCCGCTCACAGCATCTTCAGCCGTCTCTGTAACAGAAGAGCAGACCTCTCATCGACTGAGAAACGCAGACTGCGCCCAGGACGAGAGATCCCCGCACGGTGCTCCCAGCATGAGGGTGAAACTCACGATGTATCTGTTCAGCTTTCGGAGAAAGTCAACAATAAAGGGCAGTGGCAGAAAGCCCCATCACATGGGGGCCTGGGGGTCAGTGTTCTGAGCAGGGGAACTTTGGGGCACCTCGGGGTTTCAGCCTCTGACATTAAAGAGACTGTGGGCTGTCCTGCTTCTGGAGCACAACAGGTGCCCAGCCCACGGTTCCAGACAGCGCGGTCAGTGGAGCCGCGGGTGCAGACAGGAGGGGTTGGCGGGGCCCGCAGACCGTCCTGAAAGAGGGGTTTGGACCCTGACTCTCTGACCCGGGCCTTTCCCCTCGTCATCTCCCTCCTCCCAGCAGGGAACACGTTCAGGATCGTTCTCCTCCTGGGTGTCTGAAGACCCACTCAGCCCGACGCCCTTGGTCAAACGGCAGAGGGCAAGGCAGGCAGGGAAAGGCTCGCAGCCCCATCTGTGGAAACGGGAGGAGGGGGCCCTTGTGCTCTGGTTCTCTTGGCACCAACAAAGGGGAGTCCTGAGACCCTTGCTCAGTTCCAGGAGGCCCCCTCCGTATTGACACCTGAGCAGACACCTGTCACAGGTGAAGCCAGAGAGCAGCGGGGATCAGGACAGGTGTGGGCGCCCCCACTCTGCATTTCCTGGGCCTGGATCCCCTGGACCCCTCTGACTGGACCATGGTAGGTTCTTCTGCACTTGGATAAACTTAAAACAAAACCCGCAGACGGCAGTCCAAACTTCTCAGTTCTACGGCTACAATCAGCTTGCTCTCAGCATCTTCCAAGAAGCAACAAGCGCACCTAGCTCGGGCTGGGGCTTCTTGTCGCCCACGTGGACGATCGTGCTGCTGTAGCTGCACTGGCTGGTGAGGGACACCACGCTCTCCGCCTTGCCGGGCAGTGTCAGCGAGGTCAAGTGCGCGCTGACGTCCGTGTGGCTGTTCACCTTGGAGGGCGACGCCGTCTCTTTATAAGAGAAAATGGAAGCAAACACAAAAAGGTGATAAAAAAGAGCTGTTTGGTTAAGAAGTGCAGATGCCTAGGTTCGCTCCAGGACCCGAGGGACTGCATTGTCTGGGCACATCCTGGCAGGTGACGTTGTGTCCTCTGGTGTGTATTCACAGGCGGGAACAGTGGAGAAGAGGAAATTCTGAAATGGGAACAACACACTCTCCCAACCTGAGGCCCCTGGGAAGAGGCAGGCGCCCTGGGTCAGGGCCTCTGCCTCAGGCTGGAGCCCAGAACCCTTCTGTAGGCTCATGGGGAGGCGCCCGGGGTGGGGGGGCAGAAGCCCACACGTTGAGTGTAGGCATGGCCCCTGGCGGGACGCAGATTCCACCACAGAGACTGTCCAATTGTCTGTGCTTCCGTCACCCATGGGAGACCCTATTTCTGATCCTGGGGGTGACCACTAGGAACACACACACGTTTGAGGGGCCTGAGATTTCACCCGACCTGCAGGGCTGCTAACACTCAGAAGCCAGTCCTCCTCTGAGACCCCATGGAAACAGGCCTGCCCAAGCATGCCACCTGACCGGCCCCAGGCCTCCAGCTGCCCCAAGGGATCCTCAGAGTCCAGAATCACCTTTACCTTCAGTGAGGAAGGACATTTTGAGCTCCTTTGGTCATTTAAATACAGCCCACACCCCCACACTGTGTCCCTGAAGCCACTCAGAATTCACATGGGAGGAAGAAGGGGGCTGCAGGCCTTCAAATGATGCCTGATCCCAGCAGAGAGGATCTGAGTGTGCGCAGTTCGCAGCTCAGACCAACAAGGCACCTGCAGAACGTGGCCCAGGGCTGGCGGTGGCCTTCCGCTTGTCGCTGGCCTTTGGGGTGGGGAGGTTGGCCGGGAACTCACACTTGCGCTTCAGGGTGGTGGCCTCGCTGCAGCTCTCCAGGTACCTGCGGGGGTCAGAAAGGGCTCCATGTAACAGAGGAACCGGGTGGCAGGAACAGAACAGTGGGGAGGGAGGCCAGAAGGGCCGCACCTGATGACGCTGTCCAAGCAGCTGATCTGCTGGTAGGAGCCGGCGGGCTGGTTTCTGCAGGCCAGCTCCTCGGGCAGGCCAGCCTCGGGCAGGCTGGCACCAGAGCTGTCCTTTTCCACAGCCAGGACAGCTTTTATCTGAGTCGGGGAACTGCTCTGCATTTCTGGAAAAATGACAACATTGTTCCTTCAGTTAATATTTGTTGTCCCCAGAGAACACTCTATATTAATATAAAGCATTTTAATTCTACCTAAACATCAGACTGGGGGTTCAGAATATGCTTCACAGATATGGATACCCAGTGACAGCTGGTGCTCAGGCAGCCCTGCTGGGCCAATGTGGCTGTGCCATCCTCAGGGGTGGCTGGAGGGAGCCTCTCTCTGCAGGTTCTGTGGCACTCTGGCCAGGTTGTTCCCAAGGTCAGGGACTCAGCACTGGGAAAGGCCAGTTCTTATTTGAACTCTTGAAACTTTCAGGGCCAGTGAGCTCACAGGTGCTTTCTAGTCAACCAGTACTCCCTACCTCGAGGAGGGTGGGTCTCTTCAAACGCGACTTAGTGGTGATAACAACTGTAACAAGCGCCTTGGCACAGCCTGCTGCGGGCATTTCTGTTCTGCCCTCACCACATGCCACGTGCCACTCCCCTGAGGGGCCCTCGAGGGCAGAGCCACGTCCTGCTCATTAATGTCCCCAACACCCAGCACAGTGTGTCAGGCAGCGCGTCTCCCAGGCAATGTGCACACCCACGTGTCCTGATGGCCAAGACGTGGGGCAGCCCACTGGAGGCTTCCTGGAGGAGGTGAGGGCTGCAGCCAAGGAGGAGCGAGGGTGCACGTGCACATGTGCATACTTGCACAGGGCAGCGTGAGGGTGTGAAGCCACAGCGTGGTGAGTGGGAGCAGGCTGGGGGGAGGAGTGGGGTTGACGATGGCCCAGGAGCAAACCTCAGCCAGTTCAGGCTGGACTGTCTGCAGACAGCTGGGCAGCCCCTGAGGCCGGCGTGTGCTCACGTGACCGACTGCCACTCTGCAGAGTGGGAACAAGGCGCAGAGACCCTCGCCTGGCCACACCATGGCGGGCCTGCAGGGCCAGGGGCCTGCTGGGAAACGAGGGCCTGCAGGGTGGACTGAGGGCCCTGCATCCGCACAGAAGTGCACGGCCCAGCACAGAGGGGAAACTCCCTGCATCCAGAGTTAAAGTTGCACCCCGTCCCCCCACCGCGCCGCACTGAAGGCTCATTAAGGAAATGCTGGCTCATCTGTTACCTGAAGCAGACTTGCTCGTTTTTCCTCCTGGTTCGTCAGGATAATGACTTTTGGTTTTGACCTTGTTACCATTTTTACTGATTTCCTTGGAGAAAAACAAAATGAACACGTTATTTACCCTGGGAGACCCTCCAGGAACAGTAGCCTGTCCCCCACAGCAGGAAGAGAAAGCTGAATTAATCCCAGCAAGTTCTGAATGAGACCTGAGAGGCAGAACTAGATAAAACAGACTTGGGACGACTCTGAAGAAAATAAGAAATAAAGTGAACGGCAAGGTACCTTTTCTTCTTTCTAACGCTAACACTAAATGTTCACTTTCGCTTAATTTGCCAGCTTTAAGTAATTTTCACCCAAACCTTTAGCCACAGTTTGTAGCTGCTCCCACCCTTTTGAGATGACAGTCCCAAGTGAGCAGAGTTCAGAGCAACCAGAAGCAGCTGAGGTCGGAAAGGCTGGGTTCTGGGAGGGCAGTAACTTCCACGTCACAGCAGATGGACAGAGGGGGACAGAGAGAGACAGAGGGACAGAAGAGGATGGGAGGACAGAGAGGGTTGGAGGGATGGGGAACAGAAGGGGATGAAGGGGGACTGAGGGGGACAGAGAGGGATGGAGGGGGACAGGGAGGGACAGAGGGGGACGGAAGGGGACGGGGGACGCACAGCTCTCCTGTGGCAGGAGTCCTCCTGGCCGTTGCTGTCGCTGGAGGAGGTCTGGCTCATGAGGTGCTCGTGAGACCCGTTGCTGCCCAGGCTCCCGTAGCCACTGGAGCCGCTGTGGGGGACGGGCTGGGGAGACAGTGGACAGGAGGATTAGGGACAGGCCAGGGGCATGGCCTCCTACATGCTGTTTCTCTGAGTGGCTGTGACCTGCCCAGGGCCCTCAGTGAGGACCAGGTAGGGCTGGGGTCAGGCTGCGGTGGGCTCCCAGCCTCCATCCCCAGGGCTGGTCTCCGGATCCCAGTCGCCAGGAGACTCCACCAACAGGGAATTCACTTAACCCTCCCCTCAGCTCACAGGGCCAGGGGTTCAGAAAGAGAACGAGGTGTGAGTTTCCTACAGTCCCTGGAGGCAGAAAAGCAGGAAGCCGCTCCTCATGGGGCCCCTGGGCTCATCGAGTGCTGTGTCCCCAAGGACGGGGGCACCCTTCTCCAGTCCCCACGGGGCCAGTGTGGCATCCTGGATTGGAGGGACATCCCACTGCCTCCTACCCCCAGGGCCACCCTGGGACTCAGGGGCTGAGTTGGGGTGCAGGGGTCTGGCTGCATCCTTCAGCCGCTCGCCCAGGGCTGACACCCGACTGTGCGAGGCTGGGGCTGTCCCCGCTTGGGCTAGCTGCAGGTGCGCCCAACTGTCTGAGCCTGGCACAGACATCACCCAAACCAGCCCACGTGCGTGGTACCGAGAGTGCACCACGGGGGCCAGGGTGCAGGGTGGAGCGAAGGAGCAAGAAGAGCTTGAGACAGAAGGATGGTGGCCCCAGGACTCAGGGGGTTCCGAGCTGCTAGAGGGGGTGGGGGACGAGCAGGCCATGCACCCACCTGCAGCAGCAGCCGGTGGATCTGCTCCGTGAGCTCCTGAATGCTGGGGTGCAGGGCCTTCTCCTCCATGCGTGGCGGGGCTGAGAACACATCCTCATTCAAAGGCCCCCTGCGTGGTTTTCATTTGTCTCTGTGAGTCGGGGCCCCACGCAGCACGCCATACCAGGCCCCACCTCCTCCCTGCAGACCCCCAGGCTGCCACCTGCCTGCTCCCCCCTCCCCCCTCCCTGTCACCACTCTGCCTGAATGAGGCCCCGGAACAAGGCCCCTGCCACCTGGGGGCAGGGGGCAGGGGGCAGCCACCACGGTATGTGGTGGGAGGTGACTTGGGTCCTGGTCTCCCAGCCCTGCCCTCTGTCACCGTGGGTGGGGACACGAGGACCCCTGGCCCCCAGGCACTCTGAGAGTACTCACACCCTGACTCTGTGTCTCCCGATGATGAAGGAGATCTTCCGGCTCCACGGGTTGACAAAGCTGGACCAGCTGGTGTCCAGGGTGACGTACTCCCCGTTGCGGGTGCGGAACCGAATCGGGGAGCAGTCGAAAGGCTGTCCACCGGACTGCACGACTAGGAGGGAGAGAGCAGAGAGCTCAGGGCGCGGGGGTCATCGGTGCTCATGGCCGGAGGGAAGACCCTTCGGGGTGCCCTTGACGTTGGAGTCATGTGAAGAATTAAGAGATGCTGATAGCCCCTCAAAGCCACCACTTCCAATCCCGCTTTGCTTTCGACTGTGACAAGGGATGCTCTTGGCGGTGTCACTACACGTGTTAGGACACACATCTCTGTTAGCCTCACTGCTCTTCTCCCGGGGGACGCCTGGAGTCGCCTGTGTCTGTGAGGCCTGGGCTTGGTAGGGACACGTGCCGTCCACTCCCCTGGCCTGGGCAGACTGCCAACCCACCGCAGCTGACCCTGTCCCCCCTCTCCTGCCTGCTGGCAAAGCCAACAGGAAAAATGAGATACCAAGGACTCAGGCCACAGGCCACTCTCGACCGACTGACAGGACTCAGGCAGGGAGGGGCATCCCTCCCAGACACGTTGTTAGTCTGTCCGACCTGTCCCAGTGGGCGCTGGGAAGACACCCCCGGCATGTGCTAGCTTTGGCCACGCCCCCAGGATGGACCGTGAGAAGGCGACCTACTCTTTTTGTGGACGGCCAGCATCAGGGGCCTGTCACTGGGATGCAGCTGCAAGAGCACGGGGGTATCGACCAGGTCCTGAGGCAGGTGGCCCAGGAGGGGGACTGCCCTGCAAGATAAGCACACACAGGGGCATGGCCGAGCTCAGGACGCCTGCCAGGACACGGCCTCCAGGAACAAGTCAGGCTCCAAATTCCCTGAAGAGCAGAGTTGGGAACCGCGCTAACAGAAAGTCACTCTATTAACTAGCAAACAACAGATGACAGCATCGCCAAAGGTCCGCGACAGGGGGCAAGGCCTAGCCAGGCCCCGGTTACAGGCTCCTGATTTCCTGAAAGGGCAAATTGTGACAATGGTTTTGTTTTCCTCTTGTAAGGGGTGTGTGTGTGTGTGTGTGTGTGTGTGTGTTTCGTAAGTTTGGCTAGATGGGCTTTTTTTTAACAAGTCTTCAGGAAAACTGCCTGTGTGCTCACTGCGGCCACTGTGTCTGGTCCTGTTTGTTGTGGCTCCCGGAGTCGCCATCGTTGGCTGGGACAGTTGCTCTGCCCATCAGGCCCTCTCTGGGAGCTGTCATTTTGCTTTTCTGGGAAACGTTCTGCATTAAACTCTGTAGTGCCCCTTCTGCCTCTGTTGTGTCTGGTCCCCTCTGTTGTGTCCGGTGCCCTCTGTGGTGTCCAGCACCCCCGGCTGGCTCAGGCCAGTCTTCTCACATCCCAACAGATGTTTTCTCAAACTCCTGCTCGTGGGGAGGAAGTCGTCCTTAGAGCCTTTACAGAGAAGCCTCCCTGCTCTGCGAGGGGCAGAGCTTCCTCGGGGCCCGGCGCCACTCGGGTTTTCCCCTCCTTGTCTGAGG